GCCCTGTTCTGTGCCTGCGATATGTAGCCTGTGTACCGCTCCACGTAACAGACTCCACAAGGGCTGCACCCGCTCGCTACGACCTTTAGTTCAGCTCGCTGCTGGAAACAAGATGACTTTCTGAACAGCTTTGAGTTCCTGCCCCACAGCTGTGCTTATCAGCCAGGCTGCCCGGGGCTGTGAGGACAGCCTCGGGCACCCGTGACACCCGGGAAAACATGGTGTGCAGGCTGAGCCGCTGAGTGCGCGTTTTCTCAGCACCCGGCCGTGACATTGGCTTCTAATCAGAAGTCACAGTGGAACAGGCGGTTTTGAGAAGAAACGCTCCCTTCTCCCGAGTGACTGATTAAACTGGAACTATGGTGTAACACGGTCCTTCTCCCTCAGGGGCGGGGCAGGGCAGGGGAGGTGGATGAGTGGCCTGGAGGCATCTAGCATTCCTAAGTCTGGGGCCCGACTTCCTGAACTGGCTCAGTATCCCTTGTGAGCGTGATTGTTATCCTGTCTGAAGAGGAGATGAAGTCGGAAAGCTCAGGAGCAGGTCCGTGGTCAGACAGCTACCCACCCAGGACCGAACTGGGCCTGGAATCTGGGCTCGGGACCCATGGTGCTGTATTTCCCCAAACAGGATACAAAACTGGCTTCTGCATCAAACCAGATGGAGGAGAAATGTAGACTCCTGGTGTTCTTCCTAACTGCAGGGTAATACTTCAAAGTTTTGAACATTTCTTCTGTTAAAAAAAAAAAAAGGCAACAAACCTCACTTTAATTTGATCAATCACTTGCTGGATGCCATGGGGCAAGAATAATACTTGTTCATATTTGGGGGAAGAGTGGAGTTGGAGCCTTGATTTTCCTGCTTTGTATAATATACAAATTGTTACTATAATGCAATTAATACAGCCTGGATTTTCCAGTGCTGTCTGGAGTTCCATGAACAATTTTATTGGATTTTATGCTGCTTTTCATGTATTTGCTCAATAGAGATGGTTTGTAAAACAAAAAACTAAATGTAATTTTATTTGGACACATTTATCAAACCTTTAATATGAATTGGTTAATTGAAAAAATCCATTAGCACATGTGGTTTAATTATTTATTTGGATAATACAGTCTGAGGACTTATTTAATATTAGTTCAAAAAATATTTGTGGAACTGCCACTACGAGCCAGACTCCACGGGGAACAAGCCAGATGTAGTCTGCCCGCTTGTGGTAGCAAGCCTAGCTGGGAACCCTCACATGAAACAGTCACACAAACAACTGTATAATTAAAAGCTGAGATCAGAACTATGAAGGAAGAGTAGCGTTCTCGGTGAAAATTTAGTTGGGCAGGCGCTGGCGCTGTGGTGCAGCGGGTTGATGCCCTGGCCTGAGGCACCAGCATCCCATGTGGGCGCCAGTTCTGGTCCAAGCTGCTCTTCTTCAGATCCAGCTCTCTGCTGTGGCCTGGGAGGGCAGTGGAGGATGGCCCGGGTCCTTGGGCCCCTGCACCTGCGTGGGAGACCCAGAGGAGGCTCCTGGCTCCTGGCTCCTGGCTCCTGGCTTCGGATTGGTGCAGCTCCAGCTGTTGCGGCCATCTGGGGGGTGAGCCAGCAGATGGAAGACCTCTCTCTCTCTCTCTCTCTCTCTCTCTCTCTCTGTCTCTCCTCTCTCTGTGTAACTCTTTCAAGTAAATAAATGAATCTTTTTTTTTTTTTTAATTTAGTTGGGCAACTGATTTATTCAGTGGGGCTCCATGAGGCCTCTGAACCAGTGACTTTTTTTATTTTTAAGATTTATTTTACTAGGCCGGCGCCGCGGCTCACTAGGCTAATCCTCCGCCTAGCGGCGCCGGCACACCGGGTTCTAGTCCCGGTCGGGGCGCCGGATTCTGTCCCGGTTGCCCCTCTTCCAGGCCAGCTCTCTGCTGTGGCCAGGGAGTGCAGTGGAGGATGGTCCAGGTGCTTGGGCCCTGCACCCCATGGGAGACCAGGAAAAGCACCTGGCTCCTGGCTCCTGGCTCCTGCCACCGGATCAGCGCGGTGCGCCGGCCACAGCGCGCTGGCCGCGGCGGCCATTGGAGGGTGAACCAACGGCAAAGGAAGACCTTTCTCTCTGTCTCTCTCTCACTGTCCACTCTGCCTGTCAAAAAAAAAAAAAAAAAAAGATTTATTTTACTTATTTGAAAGACAAAGCTACAGAGAGTAAGAGTGAGAGAGGTCTTCCTTCTGCTGGTTCACTCCCCGAATGGCCGCAATCGCTGGGGCTGGACCAGGCTGGAGCCAGGAGCCAGGTCTTCCATGTGAGTGCAGGGGCACAAGCACTCCGGCTGTCCTCTGCACATTAGCAGGGAGCTGGATCAGAAGTGGAGCAGCTGGGATGCCAGCACCGCAGGTGGCAGCTTTACCCTGCTAAGTCACATGCCAGCCACTGAGCCAGTGACATTTAAACAGAGGCTTGAAAGACAATAAAGTGAAAAATGGGTTATCAGAAAAAGTAACACATGCAAAGGTCCTGAGGCAGGGAAGAGTTTGTCAAGAAAGTGATGGTAGAGCTTAGTGAGAGGGTGAGTGTTGGAAGGACTTCAGGATAGCAGAGTGAACAACTGAAAAAATAACCCTAGAAAACCCAGCATATAAACCAACAGGAGGGTGCTTTAAAAAGGTCAAGAAGCTGGGCAGTTGGCCTAGCAGCTATGACAGTGGAGTCCCTGTGACCCAGCTCCGGCCCCTGACCAGTTTCCTGTCCATGCAGACCCTGAGAGGCGGCAATGATCACTCAAGTGACTGAGTTCCTGCTATCCAGGTGGGGAACCTGGGTAGTGGCTCAGCTTCCGGCTCCAGCCTGGCCCAGCCCTGACCATCGCAGACATTTGGGGATTGAACCAGCAGAGGGGAGCTCTTTTTTCTTTGTTTCTCAAGTAAATAAAGTTCATGGGCAAAATATATATTGAGAAAACTATGTATGGATTTCAAAATATTTGTACACTAAAATGAAATTATAATTTAATCCCACTTTCCCACATATAACATAGCAAAAAGAGAATGCGGGGCCAGCGCTATGGCTCAGCAGGTTAACGCCCTGGCCTGAAGTGCTGGCATCCTACATGGGTGCTGGTTCGAGTCCCGGCTGCTGCTCTTCCAATCCAGCTCTCTGCTGTGGCCAGGGAAAGCAGTAGAAGATGGCCCATGTCCTTGGGCCCCTGCACCCGCATGGGAGACCCAGAGGAAGTTCCTGGCTCCTGGCTTCGGATCGGGGCAGCGCTGGCTGTAGCGGCCATTTGGGGGGTGAACCAACGGAAGGAAGACCTTTCTCTCTCTCTGTCTAACTCTGCCTGTCAAAAAAAAAAAATTCTGAATAACTGATTTCAAATTAGTTCTAACATACAAATGTATTTGAATAGCATCCATTACATTCCTGAAGCAAAAGCATATACACGCAGAAACCTACAGGTTTTTACTTTTTTTTTTTATTTTTTATTTTTTGACAGGCAGAGTGGACAGTGAGAGAGAGAGACAGAGAGAAAGGTCTTCCTTTTGCCGTTGGTTCACCCTCCAATGGCCGCCGCGGCCAGCGCGCTGTGGCTGGCGCACCGCGCTGATCCGATGGCAGGAGCCAGGTGCTTTTCCTGGTCTCCCATGGGGTGCAGGGCCCAAGCACCTGGACCATCCTCCACTGCACTCCCTGGCCACAGCAGAGAGCTGGCCTGGAAGAGGGGCCACCGGGACAGAATCCGGCGCCCCGACCGGGACTAGAACCCGGTGTGCCGGCGCCGCTAGGCGGAGGATTAGCCTAGTGAGCCGCGGCGCCAGCCAGGTTTTTACTTTATTAGTGTCCAGAGCAAGACTCAAAGTTAAGATTATAAAACTTTTTTTCCTTTTTTTTTTTTTTTTGACAGCAGAGTGGACAATGAGAGAGAGACAGATCTCCCTTTGCCGCTGGTTCACCCTCCGCGCTGTGGCCTGTGCACGGCGCTGACCCGAAGGCAGGAGCCAGGTACTTATCCTGGTCTCCCATGGGGTGCAGGGCCCAAGGATTTGGGCCATCCTCCACTGCACTTCCTGGCCACAGCAGAAAGCTGTGCCTGGAAGAGGGGCAACCAGGACAGAATCTGGCGCCCCGCCCGGGACTAGAACCCGGTGTGCCGGCGCTGCTAGGTGGAGGATTAGCCTAGTGAGCCACGGCGCCGGCCAAGATTATAAAACTTTTATCATGTCGGCGCTGCGGCTCACTTGGCTAATCCTCCGCCTGCGGCGCCGGCACCCTGGGTTCTAGTCCCGGTCAGGGAGCCGGATTCTGTCCCGGTTGCCCCTCTTCCAGTCCAGCTCTCTGCTGTGGCCCAGGAGTGCAGTGGAGGATGGCCCAAGTGCTTGGGCCCTGCACCCGCATGGGAGACCAGGAGGAAGCACCTGGCTCCTGGCTTCGGATTGGCGAAGCGCGCCGGTTGTAGCAGCCATTTGGGGGTTGAACCAACGGAAGAAAGACCTTTCTCTCTGTCTCTCTCTCACTAACTCTGCCTGTCAAAAAAAAATAATGACGAAAAAAAAATCTGCTGCGTGTGTTAGCTCTCAGCCGAAGCCTGTGGGTTGGTTCCGGCTCTGGGCCAGCTCTTCCAGGCGTCTCCGTGTTCAGACCAAAAAGCAGTCTTGGATTTTACAGAGTGACTCAAAGTCACTTTCAAACCCGCCAGTTCTGTAATTCTGAGATTTACGTATCATGGAAAAAAATGTGAGCATAGCCTGGGGATTTCTGACTTGAGTCTCAAAGTCAATGGCACCCGAGGGGTTGGTCAAGTGAGAAACTCCAAGTCCCCCAGGCTCAGCCCACTCCTTTTTCCGCCGGGGCTGGGGGCGACCAATGACGGTTTCTTCTTTGAATAGACCAATAATATCATGAAACTGATCCGTGTGCGGAGGGGCGGTTGAATTGTCCAATCGCATGAAAGACGGGGCAACATGCTAGCCAATCCAAAGGCGCGGGGCGGGACCTGAGGCGGGGACCGGGCCGAGAGGTTTGCTGACGAAGATGGCGGCCGAGGCGCAGAGTGAAGGGGAGGTGCCAGCCCGCGACTCCGGCCGGAGGTGAGCCAAGTTTTCGGTCCAGCTGCCTAGGAAACGAGGCCGTGGGCTGGTAGTGCATCCGCCCTTCCTTAGGTCACGGTGACCCGCGGCCGGGCCTTGTTCCTCCGCAGCCGCGGTGTGGCGCCTGGCCGCGCTTGTGCGGGGGCTGCGGCGCGGTGGTCCAGCCCGGCGCTGGCCCGCGGCTGCCCACTGGAGGTCCGCCCGCAGCCGTGCTGACACCCAGCAGTTGGAGATGGCAGCGCCGCCCGCCTTTGCGCCGAGCTCGTACCGACGGCGAGAAGCCGAAGCCCAGAGCTGTGTAGCTAGCCCCCGACGTCACACAGCGCTGTCAGTCTGCTCCGAGGCGGTTCGTGCGCTCGGGTCCCAGCGGCGACTAGAGATGGGTTTGCGTCTTTGGGCGGGTTTTGAAACCTCTGTCAGCTCCAGCTTCTGTAAGAGAACATGATGCCTGATTCAGGAAATGTCAGGGCTGAATTCCTTTCGGGATCCTCGTACTGAGCCTCGCGAATAACAAGCGCTCGATCTGCGACCGAGCAGAGCAGATGGGCTGGAACCTGCAGCCAGGGAGGCAGGGCCGTACGTGTACACCCACCCACCCACCCACCCACCGCGTCCTGCCCCTGCCTTAAGGCGAGGTCGTCTCTACCGCTTACTGATGCTGTTCCTTCAGGGAACGTTGTCTCTGGATCAGTCAGTGCAACACTTTGGTTGGCTCCCCTTTAGGACCGTGTAGTCGGGGATTCCGAGAGTCTTGGGAAACGTGAGTTTATGAATGGGGTTCTTCCCAAGCTGAGCAGTTTTCCACTCTTAGAGTGGCTGGGGAATGCTTGGCCATTTTTGCCTGGGAACTGCAGAGAAGGGGTAAATTTGGTTAGATCATCCCTCATCCAGCCTCAGAATCCTGAGTTGTGATGAAAATTCGAAAACAAACAAAATACTATTGTACAGCCAGGGTAGTTTCAGTTCCTTTACAGCCTATTTCCAATTGAATTTGAATTTCGAATGAGTGTTGGTTACATGATCAACTGTTCACACAATCTTATCTGAGCCTGAAACCATTTCATCAAGTGTTTCATACTGTATAAGAAAAGGCTGAGATTTCTGTAAGGCCCCCCCTTTTTTTTTTTTAATTCATTTGTTTAAGAGGCAGAGAGACAGAGCTTCATCTCCTGATTCAGTCCCCAAATGCCCACAATGGCCCCACAGGAGCCAGTGTCAGGAGCAGGAAACTTAATCCAGATCTCTTATGTGGGAGGCAGGAACCGGCTTATGGGAGCCATCATCGCTGCCTCCCAGGGTCTGCATTGACAGGAAGCTGGAATCAGAAGCCCCCGTATTCCAGAACTCAAGAACTGCTAGCTCAAATGCACCCTGCCCCCCAAGGCTTTTTGAGGGCAGGACTCATGTAGGTATTGCCAGTGCTTAGGTTTGTGTTGGTGGTCAATAATGAGTAATAATCTTTGTCATTTTTTTTAATTCAAAGATTTATTTATTCATTTAAAAGGCAGAGTTAGAGAAGGAGAGACAGAGAGAGCTCTTCTGTCTGCTGGTTCACTCCCCAAATGGCCACAACTGCTAAGGTTGGACCAGGTGGAAGTCAGGAGCCAAGAGCTGCTCCCGGTCTCCCACGTGGGTGGCAGGGACTCAAGGAACCATGTGCTGGTTCACTTGCCAAATGGCCAAAACAGCCAGATCTGGGCCAGGCCAAGGCCAGGAGCCAGGAACTCCATCCAGGTCTCCCATATGGTGGCAGGGCCTAAGTACGTGGGCCATCTTCTATTGCCTTTCCAGGGATATTAACAGGAAGCTGGATCAGAAGTGGTATAGCCAGGACTCCAACTGGCACTCAGACTTGGTATGTCAGTGTTGCAGCAGCAGTGTAACCTGTTCAGGTTATTTCAGACTCTGCTTGGAAAATATGATGTAGTGGTACAGAATTGTCAGTTTTTCTTACATGACTGAATGTAAATTTCTAGATAATTCCTTCCTTAGTGCTAACATTGTTTTTCTTATTTAAAATATGACTTATTCAGGATCTGATTTCCCAGTTTCTTCCAATAAATGTATCATTTCTGGTTTGGAAACAGTACCACGAAAGAGTGAATACAACTTGGAATAAAAGTACTTTTTAAAACTTAATTTATTTGAAAAGCAGAGAGAGAGAGAGATCTTCCATTTAGTGTTCATTTTCCAGATGCCTGCAACAGCTGATGCTTGGCCAGGCTGACACCAGGAGCCAAGAACTCAATCCACATCTGTCAGGTAGATGGCAGAGACCCAGCTACTTGAGCCATCCTCTGAGGCTGCTTCCAGGAGGTGCATTAGCAGGCAACTGGAATTTTTTTTAAATTAATTTATTTTATTTGAAAGGCAGAGTTACAAAGAGAAAGAGTGAGAGGGAGAGACCTTCCATATGCTGGTCACTCCCTGAATGGCTGTGATGACTGAAGCTGGGCCTATCCAAAGCCAGGAGCTTTTTCTTGGTCTCCCATGTGGGTGCAGGGGCCCAAGCACTTGGGCCATCCTCTGCTGCTTTCCCAGGTGCATTAGCAGGGACCTGGATAGGAAGTGGAGCAGCTGGGACTTGAACCAGAGCCCATATGGGTTGCAGGCACTGCAGGCTATGGCACCATGTCAGCCCCAGGGAACTGGAACTGTAAGTGGAGCTGGGACTTTTTGTACTCTGATATGGGATGCTGGCATCCCAAATGAGGCTTTAACTGCTGTGCCAAATGCCTGCTCCAGAAGCATTTTCTTACCTTGTCTGTACTACAGCCCCATGAAGGATTGTGATACTCACTTTCTAGTAGGAAACAGGCTGGGAATGGTCATAAAGTGGTAGACTGAAGATTTAAGCCCCAAGTTATCAACCACAAAACCTGTGCTGTTTCCACTGAACTACTCTGCTTCCCCATCGGAACACTATTAGCTTTTTGTTACAGCTAAAATTCCTGAACGAAATTATGTACGAAGGAAGGTTTGTTTAGGCTCACAATTTGTTGGTTTACAGTCCGAGATTGAGTGGCCCCATTAGTGTGGTGTCTGATGAGGGTGGTGGTTAGGGAAATGTCAGGAGGGGGGATCACATGGCCAGTTAGGGGGCAGAGACAGGAAGCAAGTTATTCCATATGGGCTCTCCTTATAAAGCAGTCCTGATTTGACCACAGAACTCCACCCCAGCAGCACAGTCCAATTCATCATCTCACAAAGGCCCTACCTTCAGACACTATAACTGGATCAGGCCTCCACCCTGTCAGCAGCATCAGCCCATGATTTGGGGACTTAAATGTCTGTATGGGTTGAGAGCCACATCCTGTTCAAACAAAGCAAGTACCTAGGTGTGTGAGAGTGAGGGAGAAGCTGCGCCACCTGTGCTGTTCTTCCAGCTGCCGAAGGAAGAAGGTAGCAGTAGATTTTGTTGAAGAGTAAGGCCTAGATAGGCCATGAATTATTGTGTAAGGGGTGGGGTGAATAGTTAATGTTTGCTGTCCTGTCTGCCCCAAACACCCTACCTTTCTTTACTGCTAATCTTTGGTTGCAGAGTTTACGAGGTTACAAATGTTAAAGATAATGGTTGCTTGTTGGTTAAGTAGAAGGTTTTCCAAGAATGGCAGTGTTTTTTCTGTTGTTATTCCAAATGCAGTATCTTATCTATTAGTTAAGTTTGGAGAGACTGACTCCAGGCTCACAAGAAGTCAAGCCAACTGATAAATGCAAATTTGGTAATTTGCATGAAGACTATACTAGATATAAATTAAGTATATGTTACTATCAAGTTGCTAATGCATTTTACCCATGGGAGAAGTACATTTGATTAGATTTTTGCATCCTTTCCTTTTTGAAATTTTATTTGTTTATTTTTAAGGGTTTATTTGAAAGGCAGAGTTACAGAGAGGCAGAGATAGAGAAAGAGAGGGAGAGAGGTCTTCCATCTGCTGGTTCACTCCCCAAATGGCCACAAGAGCTAGAGCTGTGCCAATCCGAAGCCAGGAGCCAAGAGCTTCTTCTGGGTTTCCCATGCAGGTGCAGGGGCCCAAGGACTTGAGCCATCTTCTGCTTTCCCAGGCCATAGCAGATAGCTGGATTGGAAGTAGAGCAGCCAGGACTTGAACCAGCGCCCATATGGGATGCCAGCACTGCAGGCAGCAGCTTTACGTGCTATGCCACAGCGCTGGCCCCAAGAAATCTTATTTATTTATTTGAAAGTCATAGTGATAGAGAATGGATCTTCTATTCACTGGTTCATTCTCCAGATGCCTGCGGCTGGGGCTGGGCCAGGCTGAAGCCAGGAGACAGGAACTCCGTCTGGGTTTCCATGTGGGTGACAGAGACCCAGGTAGTTAAGCTGCCTGTTGCCTTTCAAGATGCTCTTTATTGGGAAGTTGGATTGGAAGTGGAGTGGGGCCTTAAACCCCTGCACTCTGATGGGGGGGGGGCATCCCAAGCCGCTTAGCCTCTGTGCTGCAACACTGTCTTTTATTAGTACTATCAATACTTCCTTCTGAGCATACCTACCCCTTGTCACTTTGAATGCACCCTCTCAGCCACAATTTTATTAACCATCTTTTAGGATGGGTTGTTTCTATAGATGCTGGAGCACATCTATTTTGTACTGATATTTTGCTAATTTTACCTGATATATCAGGATTCATCCAGGACATAGAAACCACATAGTAATTTAAACAGAAACATTAATATAAAGCTATTAACAATAACAAGGGATTAAAGAATAGCAAGGGATTGAACAGTAAGAAGTAAAGCAGTCTCTAAAGAATTCAAAAATGGGCCTGGATTGTGGTATGGCAGAAGTGTGAGTCATGGCTTCTCTTGTTTCTCATCTAGCTCTCTGCTAATGCACCTGAGAAGGCAGTGGAAGATGGTCCAAGAACCTGGGCCCCTGCCACCCATGTGGGAGACCCAGATGGAGTTCCATTCTCCTGGCTTTGGCCTGGCCCAGCCCCAGCTATTGCTGCCATGTAAACTAGTGGATGGAAGATTTC